ACAACTCAGCAATAGTTTCGAGGAGCCTTACAGATTCAGAATCCCTGGAGATGTTTAGCAAATTTTTTTTCATCATAATGAGTAATTTATTCATTCAATCCACAAATATTTATTGAACACCTATCATGAGACTCTGAGTTTAACATGGTGTCTAATACCTGCTTAGCAAATTTCACAGTGGCTCCTGACTCAAGCCAGGTTGTTAAACCTTTGGTTTCGAAGTATTCTTTGAAAATGTATTTATTTATTTAGTGTTTGTAGAATTTTAGAGCCAGAAGTTACCTTAGAAACTCCTCTTATACAGCATAAAGTTTGCTGATGTAAAGTAGCTTGCTCAAAGGTTCATACCTCATTTTTTCTCTTTCTTTATATATAATTACATAACTTATGTGCTTGTAAAAAATGCCAACAATATCTTATATGTAAGAGAGTAAGAGGTGAACGTGCCTTGCTCTTGCCCCATCCTCCTTCCCCCCACCCCCACCCCCCAAGCTGACCACTGTTGGAAGCTGGGTGTAATTCTTCCCAGGTGTCTAGCATTTATGTGCATTTTACAGCTGTATATATACACAGATGTAGCTTTGGGTACATGGCTGGGATCACATCTGGTTCTGTAACTTGCTTTTTTCACCCAGAGAGCTTATCATATCAATACAGAGAGATCTACCAAGGTTTTTTAAAAAATGGCTTTATGGTAGATCATACTGTAGATATAATATCATTTATTTCACCAAAAGGAATACAAAAATGCATCTAGGCCATCTTCATTTTTTTCCACTATGATAAACATACATCTGTGTGCATGTGGAAGGGTATTTCTGTAAGATGATACTTAGCAGTGGAATCGTCAAGAGCATGCTTACTTAAACTTCTGATAGTTGCTGCCAAGCTGTTCTCCAAATTAGACTGTCCCAATATGCACTGCTCCCGGTAGTGAATGGGGGTCCTACTTCCCCACACCCTAGTCCATGCTGGGTATTACCAACCTTTTTCATTTACTTTTTAAACTTTATTTATTGATTTGAGAGAGAGGATGGGAGACAGACAGACAGACAGACAGACATTGGTGTGTTCGTCCACTTATTTATGCACTTATTGGTTGATCTTTGTATATGCCCTGACCGGGATCGAACCCAAAACCTTGGTGTATAGGGATGACACTCAAACCAACTGAGATACAAGGCCAGAACTATTACCAACCTTTTAAAATGTCTCCAATCTGATAGGTGAAAATCAGCTCTAATTTCTCAAAACTGTCTTTCAAATGAATTTCTCAAAACTGACTTTTAATTTCCATGTATTTCTACATGGAATTTGGAGGTTATGTTTGGAAGGGAACCCTTGAGACTTTAAAAGGAAGCTTAGGAATCTCAAATGTGACTGTCAATTGATTCTCCACATCAGAAAGTTCCCTGGAATGTCAGCCACTGTCAAACTGTCTTGTCTTTGGAGAGATGAGAGCTGCTCTTTCCATAGGACCTAAAGGTTAAATTTGGAAGTGGCATTCGGCATTCATGTGTTAGTATCATTTTTTCCAAGCCCCTTTTTAGGATTAAACCCTGCCTTTCAGCTTAGTTGGGTCCCAGTGAGAGTGGTGTGATGGACTATAAAGTCATAAAACTGGTAGACATCTGCCCTCTTTCTCTCTGCTCCATTCAACATTGAGAAAGAACCCACTACTTGCCAGGTTTCTCTCTGTAACTAGAGTAACATATAGCAGCAGCACCCTCGGGAACAAGGGGCTCATGAGTTTTAGGGAGACAAGGTGGGGAAAAGGCCGGAAGCAACTCTATGGAGCCATCCCGGGGCCGGGAACACTGCTCGCTACTCTTCTCTCGTCTCTTTTCATCTCGGTTCTGGGACAGCAGTCCCTCACGTCCTGTTTGCACTTTTCATAATACTTCCCTGTGAATCGTGATCTTGTTGTTTCCCGCCATCCTGTGAGAGTAGATGGTCCGAGTCCTATTTTTTTTTAATATATACTTTTATTGATTTCAGAGAGGAAGGGAGAGGGAGAGAGAGAGATGGAAACATCAATGATGAGAGAGAATCATCAACTGGCTGCCTCCTGCATGCCCCCTACAGGGGATCAAGCCTGCAACCCAGGCATGTGCCCCTGACCGGAATCGAACCCAGGACCCTTCAGTCCACAGACCAACGCTCTATCCACTGAGCCAAACCGGCCAGGGCTATTTTATAGTTGGACAAATAGTCACAGGCTGTGGCATGGACCCCAGAGAGAACATGGAATCCTAGTTCTCGCAAGTTTATTAGCTGTGAGGCCTTGGGCAAGTTACTGCCCTCTCTGTGCCGTCTCCGCATCTGTAAAATGGGGAGAATAAAGACCTCAAGGGCTGGTTGGGAGCTCTTTATGGAAAGTGCTCCTCAAGGCAGGGCCTGGCACCCAGGAAGCTGTTAGCAGGGCCTCTTGTTTTCACCCAACTTCCCAGGGAGACCTGGGAGTTATTTTCATTCTCTGAGCCTCAGATTGCTCATCCATAAAATGGGATGACAACCCCCGCCTCGAAGATTAATTATGTAAGTGCTGTGCCCGGTGCCTTGTCACCCACTGGCCCCATCTGTTTCTCAGGCCTCAGCCTTTCTCATTGTCTGCCGTGCTCAGAGGCGTGCTGTCCTGGAACGCTCTGCTCCCAACCACCAGGATGGAATCACAAGACTGCGGAGGGCGCAGGTTAACTGAGGATACTCTGTCTGAGGCTGGCATCGGTCCTATGAGAACAGTGAGTTTCTCAGAAATAGTCCTAATTTTTCTTCCTCCCTCTTCCCCATAGCCACTACCCGGAGTCAGGCCTTACACTTCTTTTTTTTTTTTATTAAATATATTTTTATCGATTTCAAAAAGGAAGGGAGAGGGAGAGCAAGATAGAAACATCAATGATGAGAGAGAATCATTGATTGGCTGCCTCCTGCAGGCCCCACACTGGGAATCCAGCCTGCAACCCAGGCATGTGCTCTGACTTGGAATCGAACCAGGGACCTCCTGGCTCATAGCTCGATGCTCAACCTCTGAGCCACACTGGCTGGGCAGGCCCTACACTTCTTGCAACAGCCTCTTGCCTGGTCTTCCCCATGGCAGACCCTCATCTTCATCCATCCTACACCCTAGTTCTAGAGTTTTTTCCACTCCACATACCGAAGGTGGAGTAAACCTTTCAATTCAACTGTTGTCTGTTCAAGTACCTGATTTTTATTAAGCACTTACTCTGCACCCAACACTGTGCTAAATATTTTATAGGCATCATTTCATGTACTCGTTGCAATACAGGTAGATACTTTTATTATGCCCATTATACAGATGAGCAGGGAACTAACTTATCCAAGGTCACATAGCCGGTAAGTAGAGGAGTGAGATGTAAACACTAAAATCCTCACCACAACCCTGCAAGGTTTTATATTATTTTACTCTCTCAAGAACTACCTACTGTGTATCTAGCATGTGCAGGCATAAATCTAGGTCTGGGGACAGGGTGGCAAACAGAATAGACAATAGTGGAGGAAATGGATGGTAAACAGAACCGTAAATAATAAAAGCATAGTATGCAAATTGTTCCCTCAACTGGAGTTCTTCCAGGAGTTTGACCAGGGAGCACCCAGCCGGGGGGAAGGGAGGGAGGCCCCAGCCAACAGCTGGGACCCTACCAGTGCACGAATTTTGTGCACTGGGCCTCTAATAAAAATATAATATCAGGAAAGTGCTAAGAAAAACATACCACAACAGGGTAAGGAGATAGAGCATGTTAGAGAGAGGGGTGCCGGGAGGGACCCCTTGAGAACGAGACAGCAGAGAGGAAGACGGAATGAAGTAAGGGAGAGAGGAAACAGAGGTTCCAAGAGGTGACAGGTCTGGCTGAGGTCACCTGGCAAGAATGAACAGCCAGGTGAATGGGAACTCAAACCCGGGGCCAAGTGTCTTCTCTGTTTCTTGCAGCCTCAGTTCTTCCTGAGAGATTCCTGAGACTTCCAGAAGCTGAGGGGTGAGTTAAAGGCTTCCTCCTGGCCACCTGGGGGCAGAAACATCAAAGTCCTTCTCAAATGGCTTTGTCATGAGTTAAACCAAGTACCAGGACATCAGCTCCTCCACTCACAAAACATTTCAGCCTTTTTGGTTGAAATGACTGGTTAGACTAAGTTGAATATTGCCTTTAAAAAAAAAAAAAAAAGAACAGAACTCATGATTGAATTTTGTTAAGATGACTAAACTGGCCCCATCCTCAGTCTATGTCAGTCCTGCGGGAAGTCAGAAGTCAAGGAAAATGTGTCCTCTTGGCAAATGACTGACCCTCCAGCCCAGCCCCAGAAGTCTCAGAGAGCAGAGAAGTAGGAAGCCATGTCAAATCACAAATCATAAAGATTTCTCTCCATGACAAATCCTGGGAATCTGGTGGTGATGTGGGGCGGGTGGGAGGGGATGTTTCAAATTTCACAAACATTTAATGATTGGCCAGGCCCAGTGGTAGGTATTTCCATATCGTGTTTCATTTCGTTCTCATTAATAACCCAGTGGAGTAGGCACTAACATCCCCATTTTACAGATGAGGAAACTGTGGCTCAGAGAAATGCCATCCAGCCCAAGTGAGCAGCAGGCCTGTCTAATTCTCAAGCCCACGCCCTTTACTATCTCACACATTATCTCCCTTCTGTTTTCCAGCTCCCAGCTCAGTCATCTCCCCCACCCTCAACTCTTCGAGAAAGATGTTATTATCCTTATTGTATAGGTGGGTCACGTGACTGCATTGGTGGAGTTGTCCCATTTTACAGATGATGCTACTGAGGCAGAGGACGGTGCAGTATTGGAATTTGAACTCAGACCCACTGACTTGCCTCTACACCCCAGCAGCCCCGGGGGAGACAGTTGGAGTGGGATGAGCGGGAATAATTGGGAATATCAAACTCTGCCTGTTGCTTCAGCTGGTTTAAACTTCTTTACATTTGCACCGCAGAATCGAAAACTTTTCCTGCAGGAAAAGATGCTTGTCTTGGGGTCAGACCGAATGTCCTCTGTGAGCTGAACTTCTCTGCTGTAGCTTAAACCCGCCCCAGGCTGATCTGAGTCAAGAGAGGCCCCTTCCTCCTTTCCTGGCGGGCACCAGCCTCCGCCTTGCTGTTCCCTCGGATTTTTATTCCCTGGGCGAAGCAATGGAGCTCTTAATTAAATTCTCTTGTTAGAAGTCAAGCTTGAGGAAAACAAACAGAAAAACCTCTCCTGTGGGACCGGTTTCTTTCCAGCTCGCTGGGAGGCTTGATGCTGGAGATGGTATCCCTGGCCGACCTCCGACATCCATCCCTCACTGCTCCGGGGAATTTCCTGTTGGCGCCTTCCTTGGCTCAGTCCCACCCTGCTGGAGCAGAGGAAATTGTGATGGGAGGTGTGGGGATGTTATCAGAAGTTTCAGTGTGTGGTGTGAGTCTCTGGTTAGTTGTGAGTCTCTGGGCTTCAGTGCAGGGGGCTTGGGGGGAAGGAAGGAGGGGAGACTTCAAAGACCAGGAGTGGGGGTGGCAGGAGGCACTGAGACCATGGTGGGTACTTGTTCCCAAGGACAGCAGACACCTGATCACACCTAAGTGACTCCCATTCTCCCCTAACCACTCTAATGGACACAAGGAACCATGAGGAGCTGGAAAGAGCACTGGACTTCGAGTCAGGAAGCCCAGGGTCTAGTCCAGATCTGTTACTAACTCACTGCTTTAATCGTAAACAGAGCAAACTGTTGTGGGGTTACATGTTAAGTGTTATGCTAAGCCCCATGCATAGATGATCTTATTTAATTCTCACAAATCCATCCTTTTTAAAAAATATTTTATATATATGGTTGATTTTAGAGAGGAAGGGAGAGGGAGAGAGAGATAGAAACATCAATGATGAGAGAGAATCATTGATTGGCTTCCTCCTGCATGCCCCCTACAGGGGATCGAGCCCGCAACCTGGGCATGTGCCCTTGATCAGAATCGAACCCAGGACCCTTCAGGCCGACGCTCTATCCACTGAGACAAACCATCCTTTTTTTTCCTTCTTCAAAGAAACTGAGGCTCAGAGAGGTTAATTGACCAACCCAAAGTCACACAGCTGGTAAGTGCTGTGAAGCTGAGATTCAAACCAAGTAGTCTGGATCCAGAGCCCAAGCCCCTAACCATAGTCTCCAGTTAGTTCCACCTTCTAGGTTTCAGATTCCCCATCTGTAAACAAACAGGATTGGTATACTTGAACTCCAAACAGCCTTCCAGGCCTGACAATCTGTGCTTTATTCAACAGTCAGTGTATTGCCAGGCCGGGGCTGGGAACACAAAGCTGAGTAAGATCACCTCTGTCCTCAGGTTATACACTCTTTGAGAGGAGAAATCACGTCTTCATTACCCTTGCTAGCCTCGCACCATTTACCACAGGCACTGTGCAAAGAGAAGGTGCTCAAAATATTTGTTGACTAAATGTGTGATTCATGGGGAGGAGCATGGGCTTGGGAGTTAGACGTAACTGAGGTCCCATCCTGTTCTGACCCTTGCAAGGGAAAGTCACTTAATTTCCGTGACTGTTTCTTTCTTCATCGAGTGGCAATACACAGGAGTACTTTCCTCACAGGGTTGCAGAGAGGATAATGCTTGGTAAGCACTTAGCATCGTGCTTGGCACATTAAAAACTGCTCAATAAATCTTAGTTCCTTTCCTTGATGGATTCTCCAACCTTCTTTTACCCTTGTCACTGGCTGGTAGGGAACATGCTGAACCCCTCTTTGTTGTCTCCCCGGTTGAAGCTGGGAACTAATTTCTACTGCTGGAGGCAGATAGCAAACCCGCTCTGCCAGGTCCTGCGTGAGGAAGGAAGAAAACAGGTTCCCTGGAAAGCCCTCCCCTGGATTCTGATTCCCATGCAGCCCCTGCTCCTCTGTGGTGCAGATGTCCCCTCTGTCTAGACAGCTCTCCCCAGAAGAAATTGCCAACCACAGACTGTCTGATGACAAAGTGTGTCTGGGGCACTAGTCCTCTTACACACAATTCATTCAACCCTGTTCAGAAAAGAACAAGCCAGGCTCCCACCTCCTAAGCAGAGGGGAATCTAGGGGAGCAGGAGTGAATGGGTGGCTTCTTTTTTCATTAATTTATCCATCCATCCATCCATCCATCCATCCATCCATCCATCTTTGGTTGAATGTCTTCCATGTGGTAGGCATGGGGCATACCTAGATGAATAATACCCCTTCCCCTTCCCAAACTCATAATATTGGGGGAAATGGACACAAAAAAATAACTATGAAAGGTGTGGCCATTATACTGACAGGGAACACTCAGGGAGGGCTTACTGTGTGCCAGGCACAGTGCTATATATTTTGGATGCATGATTTCATCACCCCATGAAGTAAATACTATTATTGTTATTTTACCCATGAGCCAACTCTTGGAATTTAGATAACTTGTCCAGGGTTGCACAGCTACTGAAAAATCAGGATTCCAATTCAGTCTGATCCTTGCATCAGCACTTGCCATCAGACCTCTAAGGAGGGAATCACCACCTCCATTCAGGAGGAATGGGAGGGGCCCCACGGAGCCGGGGATTTCAGAGCTGGGCCCTGAGGGATGAGTCATGGGAGACCAAGGAGGTATCAAAGATTCTGGGAATGAGTGGGACTCTAACCAACAGAAACGAGGGCCAGGACTTTCTGAATGGAAAGGAAAGCATGAGCCGGGTTTGAGAAGGCAGGGCATACAGCGTGGGGACACACTGGGAAGAGCCTGGAATGCCAGGATAGGGGACTTGGGACCTCTGCAGGAGGGAGTGAGGGGGGACTTGCGAGGTCTGGGCAGGGGCTCCCTATGCTTTAGGAAGTCTGCTCTAGTGACGCCTGGAGAATGGTTTGGAAGGGGCAGGAAGCTGACCTGGGACTTGCCCCAAGGTTTTTGGATTGTGGTAGCAGGGATGGAGATTGTGACGGAACGGTCGATGATGCCCACGTGGATGTCGGAGTTCAGGGTACCACAGAGTGCAAACTTGCCCTGTCCAATCATGCCACTCGCTTACTCGAAACCCTTCCCTGGCTCCCATGAGAAAGCCCCAGGTCCTTCACTTGGCATTCAAGGCTTCATGGGCTGACCCCTTTCTGCCCCCCACCCCCAGCCTCATCTCGACCACTTTCCCCTACTCTAGCGACATCTACAGACCAAATTCTCTCTGTAGCCTCTGTGCCTTTGTACATGCTGTTCCTTCTACCAGGGAACTTCTCTGCTCCCCTTCCCTCTGGTTTGCTCAGATGCCTCCTACCCACTTCAAGGCTCAGTGCGGGGGTTGCCCTTGCCCACCTCCCAGGTGGGGCCTGCTTTCCTCTGAGCCCCTTAAGCCCCTGCTCCCTCTGTCCCTCCCCCGACATTGGGTTGTGCTTAACTGCATGGGGGCTTTTTCTCCTGGACTGTGAGCTTCCTGAGAGTGGGGTCTGGCCCAGGGTGAGGCTGAGAGGTTGAAGTGAGCCCTCTCCAGCAGACCCAGCTTTTTGCTTAAACCAACTTTCCAGCGGCATTTACCATCTTGAACTGCTCTTGTTGTTCAATGAGGTAAGTTTCGTTAGCGTGTGCTGAGATGCGTCAGGGCAGCTTCCGGAGCTCTCAGGTCTTTTCCGCGGGGACAGAGGCCCGTGTGTCTATATTTACTCTGCCATGTGGATTTCCCTACTGCAGGGTCTCAGGCTGGGACCCTGGCGGCAGCTGCAAATGCTTGCGCTGTGTGGCTAGGACCCCCTCCTCCTCTAGGACTGTTCACCTTGGGGTATCAGCAGCAGTAGCTATTTTAGGAAATGCCTCCATTTGGCATTGCCTATTTCCTATTTGGGAAGAGAGCCCAGGGCCTGAGCAGAGTGAAGAAGGCCGAGAGGGGTGAGGCTGCACATAACTTTTGTCTATTTGCCAGTGATTGATCTGCCTGGGGTTTGCACTAAGACGAAAAGAACCTCTGCATTATTAATGACCATCGATCACAGCCTCCCAAAAAAGAGAGATTGAGAGAGACGAAGGCTCCAGGCAGTCATCAAACTGGTAAACCAAGAGGGTGAGGTGTAGAGAGAGGAGGGGAGGGCCAGTGGGTAGGGACTTTGTAGAGCAGGACACTGAGAAGAATGCCAGGAGGGGCTGCTGAGTTTCTGGTGTGCCAGGTGTCACACAGCTGTGTGGGCTGCAGGTAAACCAGCGACAGTGGGTGCTGCTGGCCTCTGCTACACCCAGCTAACGAGACTTCACCAGAACGATTGCCAGGGACAGAGGGGCACTTCACAATGATAAAGGGGTCAATTCACCAAAGGCTCATAATGGCAAGTGCACTTAACAACACAGCTTCGACATACATGGGGTCCAAATTGGCAGCGAGCCTGTAAGGATAGAGGCCAGCTCCCCGGGAGCCACGTGAAACCCTGAAACCCGGACACCAGCCCTGCCCAGCGTGGTGCCTCTTCAGTGGGCACTTCTCATTGTTCCTCTTTGTGCTCTAGTCTCTCAACCCTGGTCCTCTGGAAGCAGGTAGATTCATCCCAGCACCCCCATACCTGCTGGAACCTGCCTCCCCTTACTTGGAATCTGCTGTTTGAATGAGGGAAGGAGCTGCCCCTCTGACCTCAGCTCCTGCCATTCACTCGGCCCCAGAACCCGCCGGTCACTGTCCCCTCAGGGGAGCTGTTCCCCTACATTTCTGCAGGGCCCCTCCCTCACCCTGTCTTTCTCAGTGAGACCTCCCCTGACCTCCCTATTCAGTGCCTCCCCTCACTCTCTATCTCCTCCCCCTGCTTTTCTTCTTCCACACACTCAGCCCATAAACGTCCCTAAGTTTTGCTTACCGCATTCATTAAGCGCCAGTGGGTCCACTTCTGTTTTGTTCTCTGCTATATATTCCCAGTGCCTCGAACATGCCCGATGCGCAGTGGGTTGATAAATACCTGTTAACGGAAGGGAAAAAATCCCACTAGGGATGAACACAGGGGACAGGGACGGAGGGGGGAAGCTAGGCTTTCACCAGGGTCTCCGGCCAGGGCCCACCTCTCACCACCCTCTACTCCGGACCAGGCCACCCGCTCTCCTACAGGTGGGGACTGGGGCGCCCCGGGACTGGGGCGGCGGCCAGGGCGGAGGCGGGGGGTGGAGCTGGGACTCGG